AAAAAAAAAAAAAAAAGAAAAGAAAGAAAGAAAATCCCCAAACCAGAGTCTCTCAATGTTACAGATAAACATTGAAACTGATTACCTGTCTGCTTTCCCCTCATAAAAGAATGCTCACTGAAATATTGGTATACATACATATCATTAAAGTCTAATCACATCATAAGAATACTCAAGAAACAATAAGGCTTTTGTATTTCTGGTGGACTTAGAAGGAAGCAAGACTAGGCAAGCTCTTGGAGAAGGAGAGGCCCTAAGAAGCTAAATAAGATTTCACCTCGCTAAAATTTTCATCAAACCAACATCAATCCCAGGCCAGCTGAAAGCATTCCAGTTAAGACCACATTTTTGTAGTATCACAAAGTAAAAATGTATGTGCTGAATATGAAGACCACATACCCTGGTGCTTCAAGAACTACTTAGCAGGTGCAGCTCACCTGTCCCATCGTCACCTACCAAAACCCTTATGCATTGTTTCAATGTATTGATCGATTCCTCCCAAACATGCCCCGCATTTCCCATCTGTGCCTGGTCCTCCTGCTATTACTTTACACAACACCGTGAAACTACTCTGCCTATCCTCAGCTAATGCAAACTCCAAATTCTTCACGAGGGCTTTGAAGACCACAAAATACTATCATTTCTTCTGCTTTTACCTTCCAGAGCGTTGAGTCTGAATCATTGCTTTGGTATTCAAGAGAGTTGCTTATGACCACACATTCAAGAATTTCATCTGCTGGTTTCATTTTACTGCTCAAGAACAGAAAGATTTACCTTACAGAGCAAAAGAGTGTCAATGGCTCAGGCTACAGCAGCCAGTACACTTGGGTGCCAATCAGGGATCCACCTCAGGCTGGGCCAGCTACCTCTGGAAAATTACTTCACCTCTCTGAACCTTGAGTTCCTCTTCTAGAAAGTGTGAAGATTCATCAAGGTGATTATGATAGACTGATTGTAGCCCACCAAAATTCATACATTGAAATGCTAATAACTAATGATAATGGAATTAAGAGACAGGACATCTGAAAGGTGATTAGGTCATGAGGGTGGGAGACCTCACGAATGAGATTAGTGTCCCCGAGCGCTCTGTCACCCCTTCCACCACGTGAGAACACAGGGAGAAGATGGCAGTTGCAACCTCGAAAGGGCCCTTACCAGAACCTCCCAGGCTGGCACCCTGAGCTGGGATTTACAGTCTCCAGAGCCATCGGAAGAAAGTTTCTAGTGTTTATATGCCAAATAGTCTATGTACTTTGTTACCGTAGCCTGAAAAGACTAAGATAGTGATATGTGTAAAAGATATAGCACAGGGTTTGGTACACAGAAAATCTGAGCAGGAGACTCCAGCAAAGCAGAAAATCTATCCCTAAAACATACAATCACTATATAGCATTTTTGTTTTGGGCGGGGGGGGGTTTGAGACAGAATCTTACTTTGTCCCCCTAGGTAGAGTGCAGGGGCATCACAGCTCACAGCAACCTCAAACTCCTGGACTCAAGTGATCTCCTTGCCTCACCCTCCCAAGTAGCTGTGACAGGTGCCTGCCACAACACCCAGCTAGGGTTTTTGTTGTTGTTGTTTTTAAGAGACAGGTCTTACTCTTGCTCAGGCTAGTCTCGAACTCCTGAGCTCAGGAACTCAGGTGATTCACCCACTTTAGTCTTCCGAAGTGCTAGGATCACGGGCGTGAGCCACCGCGCCCAGCTGTATAGCATTTTTGGATGACAAGTTTTAAAAGGCAGCAAGTAGAGAACCCTGAATATAAATCAGAAGACTCAGGCCCACATCCCTGGATTGAAGACTCACTTGATAGCGTACTTTTCCCCTTAAAAGGGAAGAAACACCATCTAAACATCTGTAAGCACGGCCTGCTACATGCACAGAGACTCTGTGGGGAAATAGAAGTGTGGGGCACTTTCACTACAGTAATTGATGTTGATAAGTTACATGAAAATTGGTTCGACATTCCACACGTACAAACTGGTTACAAAGAGGTAAACTGGAGGCATAATTAAACTCCTGACAGTCTCCTTTAGCTCACATAAATTTCCCCAAATTGAAATCAAAAAAAGCAAATCAGTAATGAAGCATCACACTTGGTATTATACGTTTCTCTAACAGAAAAATGAAAAAGCAAAAAGACCCAAAGCGGCTTCTTGCATTCACTATCCACCTGCCAACGTGTCAGGAATATTCAAATACCCTGAACTCTATGGGGCAAGGAGGTTGCCACTAATTGAAGTCCCCACCCCAGCTAATAAACTAGTGTTACACCCATGGCATGTCCAGGTTGCAGGACCCTTTTCAGAACAGCAGTTTCAGTGTCCAGGTTGTTTGAAATTAATCGTGCCAATGTCATTTGAAGGAAGTTTATTTTGTGGGCTGCAGCACATGCCAGAAAAGTTATAGCTGTTCCTCTGTACACCCTTTTGTATAATTCATTTTCTCTATTCTGAATGCAAATTACTCCTATTATAAGAAACGGGTGTTAGTGAGCATATCTTATAGTTGAAGGTCTCTGGATTTTTTTTCCACTCCTTAAAAGAAATGACATGCTATGTATTAATATTCCACAGAAGTCTGGTTTTATAAGAAATTGTTTACCAACTTATACCTTAATTATTTTTAACACTATTTTTATCGATAACAATGAACAACGTCTGTAAAGCACCCTGAGTTCTTAATTAGAGGCAAACAATAGAAACTTTCTACACATAATAAACAGGCCAGAAAATCAGTAGCAAAAAGTCAAAGTAGTAGAAGTTGACTATTTATTCTGGTACCTTATGATCAGAATCATTAACATGAGCTTCTAAGTTAGCTCCAAAAAAGAAATAAAAGGTAAAATTAAGAAACATTTAGCCAGTAGAGATAATGTATTAGACATAAAGCAATTATTTTTAAACTAGTAGAACCGTGTTCCTGAGGGATCACCTTCTGTCGCTCAGCAACACTTCTGTGAAAGCCGCTTCTTGATGATCACTAGTCACTGTGTCAGCTTTCAGAGATCTAAGCATCCCAAACACTTCATTCTTCCTCTTGATAGATCAAGAAGCAGATAGTCCTCAAGATCCAGGTAATACAAGCCCAAGTTTCAGAAGTTATTGAAGAGATATTCAAACTTTAGAAAGCCACCCAATTTATTTTTAGAATGAAATGAAAGACTATTTGATTTTTAAATTTCAATATTCTGTTAATATATAGTTGCCTTCTGGCATATTAACTCAGGATATATCATTGAGAAACTTTATTCCTGTCAAAACCCAGCCTAGATGTCAGTTCTTCAGAACATCTCCCTGGTTCCTCCCCCACTTTTCTCTCCTTGCACTGATTTCACCTCTCCGACCCCTCCACTAGATTGAGCCCCTTGAAGTCAAAAACCATATCGCTACTTATGTCTAACTCCCAGTACTAACATTGAGCCAAATAACAGGTACTCAGCAAAGTGTTTGCTGAATTTTTAAAAGATTCATGCTGCCCGCCCCTCACTGACGTACCACTGCCAAAGAGACTGCTATCCAATAGCAATGATGAGTTGATACAAGCCAATCAAACTCTTCTCCAAACTCTCTACAGTCAATACAAACCTTTAAAAAGTGATAGAAAGAATTGCCATAGAGGCATCTTCTCCTGAACAGTAAGTACTCATGTGAGTACTGATTCTAATTGTAATAGTACAATATGTTAAGCGTTTGAGTTAAGCAATTGGGCCAAAAGACTTCTAAAGGCCATTTTAAAAATAACATTCCATAGTCATAAATAATGGCTCCCCTCTCCTCTCCTTCCACACATTACTACCCAGGAACTACAAGGTTCTAACTGGGAGATGTTTCTAAACCTCCTTTGTTTAAATAATCACATGTACCTTGTAAGTCTACTAGTACACAATACTCAAAATTCATGGCTGAGAAAAACAGACCAAAATTTTCACTTAAAAATGAGTAATTGGGCTTTTTCCCACTAAAATAGCTTTTCAAAATAATAGGTACAATATACATTCAAATATATAATGCATAGCAGGATGCTAATTACATACATTGACCATTAACCTATTTAATTTTTAAGTTAGAAGAGGAACGCAAGAAATAAAAACACAAAAAACAGTCGTGAATTAGCTAACTCAAAATAAGTTAAATCTTTATTTAGTTAGTTAAATCTTTAATATTCTGCAGGAGAGAAATACTTGAAAAAGAGTTATGCTTAGTACAAAGAAATAAATATTCATGCCTTAGGTGAACATATGAATTTGTGCTT